ATTATCAGATGGACGTCAGATTCATGCGCATTGAAAATAGTCCGTTCCTACAGAGCCACGGATAATCCGATGAACTGTCAGTAAAACGTTCCAACAAATTTTCTGATTCGTACATGAATGTGTCAGAGGATTGTCAAATCTATCAGAGGTTTATCGCTTGTACAAATAATCAGCACATGCGCTTTTGGGTCATTTCTCGTTCGTGCCATTTTTAAATGTTTTGGATTTAAGTTAAGTTAGATTAGTTGGCTTTGTACTCGTATTTCTTTAAATTGAAGTTAGGTTGTGTAGTACATTTTTCTTTTTGTAACTAGGTATTTGTAATAAAAATCGACATTAGAAATTTTAAAAATCGTACAAAAATATATTTTTTAAAAGATAAGAAAATGAGTGATATTGAAAGTGAATATAATTCGGAACTGTCCTATTCGTCTGATGAGGAAGAAATTTTAATGTCACATCGAACAAAAAATACAAATTTTCTTGGTATGAATCATATATTTTTTTAAATGTTAAGGTGTTTTTTTTTGTTAGAGGAAACCATCTTAAATTATGACGATAATACGTTTTTTGAACATTTCCGTGTGAGTCGTAATGCATTACAAGATATTGTAAATTCATTTGAAGCAAGTCAGTTTTATAAAACACAGTCCGGGCATTTTGGAAAAACGACAGCTACTGAACAAGTAAGGTGGTGATAAATATACTTGCTTCAAGTAAATTTAGGTTTGTTCCAACATCGCCTTTCTGATGTGTCTCTGACTCGTGCATGGATGCATTCGTAAACTAATCACTGCGCATGTCAGTCCGTTTATTCGTCCGTTGTTTAATCAGCGACTTGTCCTTGTTGGAACGCAAAATGCAATGGAATTTGACAAACCAAACATATGTTTGGTCAATTGATATTTTAAAATTATTTAAAATACAACAACATACATTTATTTAGCTGTCTCGAACGCTCTATGTGAATGTATAATTTTGAAACATTAAGATTGAATATTTTTATTAAAAATAAGTACGCATTTTACAAAAAAAATCCGCACACAAGATAAGAACAAAAATTATTCATTTCAATTAAAAGCAATAGAAACCCAAGCCACTCCAAGCTAACTTAAAATCCCAATATTTACAAAAAAATATCACGAACGAGAAGAGACGTTCAAATACGCATGTGCTGATAAATTGTACAAGCGATGAAGCTCTGACCGTTTTGACAATCCGCCGACTCATTCATGTACGAATCAGAAAATACGTTGGAACGTTTTACTGACATTTCATCAGATCATCCGTGGCTCTGTAGGAACGGACTATTTTCAATGCGCATGCGTCTGACGTCCTTCTGATGATCAGATTCGCTGTTGGAACAAACCTAATAATTTTAGGTTCTTATCACACTATGGTACATGGGTCACCAAACTGATAGTTTTCGAGATGTTGCCGATAGGTTTAACATTACTATAAGTTCATTATACAGAATTTTACGACGAGTAATATTTTGTTTAAGTAATATGTCGCCCCAAATAATTAAGTGGCCGACGAATGAAGAAAAAATGATAAGTGAGGAACATTTTCAAGCCAATGGATTTCCAAGGGTCATCGGCGCAATCGACGGATGTCATATTAAAATTGATAAGCCTGATGTTGACAGTGACTCCTACATCAATAGGAAAGGATATTACTCAATACATGTCAGTTAATAATTTCAAAAATAGGTATGGTTATTTCTATTTTGTGATCATCTTTTTAGATGCAGGCAGTATGTGACCACCAAAAGAAAATTATTGATGTTCTTGTGGGATATCCTGGTTCGGTACATGACAGCCGAGTTTTTAAAAACTCTACCTTGTATCGAACATTAGAGCAAAAGTGTGGAAATTATTTTTTGTTGGCAGATAGTGGATATCCATTGACTCGACATGTGTTAACTCCTTTTAGAGATAGGGGTCAATTAACAGACAGGCAGATAAATTACAATGTCAAACTTGCCAGAAATCGATACAAGATAGAGCATTGTTTTGGAATGCCGAAACAAAAATTCCGACAAATGTACCATGTTAAGATCGGGGACATTCGATTTATAGTTCATATGATGCGAGCAGCATGTGTTCTGCATAACATAGCCCTAAATGATGGAATTGATTTAGGCGATATTCCTGAAGGTACGAACGAAGATCAAATTAATAGAAACGCTGAAGATGACATAAATATTGAAGAAAACAGAAATGCGGAAGATGACAGAAATGCTGAAAATATTAGAAACTTTATTGTTGAAATTTTAGATATTTAAATAAAATGAATTGGTTACTAAAAACAGCTTTTTATTAAATCCAAACAAAACTAGTGACATATGAACAAAAACTAAACGTATTTATTTGAACTCATGAACTTAACAATAAATTATTTTACTCTGCTCAATTAGCTTTAAACTTTTTACTTATACAGTAAGGACGTAGGTATAGGTTGGAATTTTTCTAACAAAATGCTTTCACAGGTCAATTGTTATTTTCTACTGAGCGTCTTACGTTACAATTGGATGTACTAATGACGTCATCGATTTTCTTTTAAATAGAACATTTTCTTTTCATTTTAAAATTCCTCAATAGACGATTACAAAAGTGTATGTAATACTTATAGTCCAGTCATTGGTTTCTGAACTCGAGACAAATGTTATATTAGAAATTTTGAATCTAAAATTTTATTGAAAGGGCTGGTCTAATACATTTTCAATTTTTATTAATTTAAATAATTAATAGAATACATTTCAAAATTAAATTAAATGTTAAAAGTACATGCCATTGACTTCCTGGCAATAACCAAGTCAGTTTCTAAATTCCTCTGACACTCTGGTCTATAGAGGTTTTACAAATATTTTTGTAATCGTCTATTACTAGGGAATTAAAAAATTAAGAGAAATATATGTTCTATTAACAAAAAAATCGATGACGCCATTAGTACATACAACTATAGCATAAGACGTCTCATTTTCCTTCGCAGGGGTTCTAAACTAAATCCTTGCAGATGACACTTCCTCCCACTTTACAAAATTCCAGCTGGAGGATACTATTGTACCACCTCTTAGACTATTTTAAACTACAAACACAAAAATTGAAATTTCAAAATATACAAACATAATAGACAACCTAGACATCATGACAAATGCACTTTTTTTTTTTTAATATCACATTTCTTTTTTTTATTAATTCATTTCTTATTTTCATTTGTTCAACTTTTTCTTTTTCGATTGCAAGTCTCTCATCATAATATTTTTTTTTTTGATTCGACATAGTTTCTAACACTGTAGACCTTCTTTTCCGTAGTTTTTTTATTTTGTGTTGAAACTATTTTAGTTTCGGCAGAACCTATACTTCTTTTTTCCGATTCGTCAGCCCTATTTATATTTTCTTTCTCTATTATGTTAACCAGCGTGTCTGCCTCAAGTAAAAGTTCTGGAAATACATTTTTTTTTTACCCAAAATACAATTCATTTCCTCTTCATATTCAAAAAAAATTTTTTCCTCTGCCAGTGGACGACTGATCATCAACGTATTTTTTATATCCTCGTTCCAAGACTCGCCAACGATTTTCGCACTGGCTTGGACTTACTTTTATTTTTAACAAATTTTGCAACTTATCAGCAATTTGTTGCCATATTATTTTAATGGTTTTTATTTTAAAACTCCCCACTTTGTCTCTGTTTTCTTTATATATATATATATATATATATATATATATATATATATATATATATATATATATATTTTTTTTGTAGTCCATTTAATGTCTCTGTCCACCTCATAAGTATTTAGGTTAGGTCCCTGAATAATAATAAATTCAGACAATTCGTTTGGGACAGCTAAAAAAATATATTATGTTGACAAATATTAAAATATTATTTAAAAAAATACATAATTTACCTAACACGTCATTATTTTGTTCCATTGCTTTATAATATCTATGCGTTCCAACAAGTACAATTCTCTGACACAAAAATGGACGTACATCTGACTGACATGCGCAGTGGTTAGTTTACGAATGCATTCATGTACGAGTCAGAGACACATCAGAATTGAGCTGTTGAAACGAACCTATTATTTTTGGAGTCACAGTTTATTGCTAAAGAATCAGTTAGCTCACTCGGACCAGTTAAAAGTTCCAAAATAACATCCACTCCAGGGATACAAATTCAGGATACGAAGAAGACGGCTGTTTTATTGTAGGCGGTTGTCATATATTGTATTATCCGAGTTGCGCAGTGTATAAACTGGAACATTGAGATCAAAAGTGCCAAAGCAGAGTGAGCGATCTGATTCTTTATCTATAAACTGTGGCATAGGAATCAAAATGGCCGCGCTCTATGTTGGGCGTGTCGGACCTCTCTCTTGCACCGTATAGTACAGAAAATCAAAGTATGTGGCCGAAACCAACTAGTTTCGGATATGTAGACATGTATTTATCTCTTTCTTTGAACTGCACAAAACATTAAATGAGTCTATACTTCGCTAGAAATTAGACAAGTTCTCATTAAAAACACAATGACAGTTTTCTGTTATATAAATTACCTAATTTCTCTGAGCAAAGATAATAATAATAAATAAAATAAAATATGAACCCTAATGTAGTGTTAACCATTTAGATAAAAGTTTTGTGTAAATATGTTCAACTTTAAAAGTTTTGTCGTGCAGCATTTTTTCACTATAAATTGTTTTTTACGAAGTTGTTGGAATTTCATTATTCGTATGGAGATAGTTGCAGCTAGCACCGAAAGGAGACAGTCCACTTGGTAAGCGAGCCTTATGGCCGTATTTGTAATTTGTGTTGTGTTCAACTTTTAATAAACTACAAACCCAACAATTATAATAATATTCATTCCTTATGAATTAACATATATAATTTAAGAATTTACGATAAATAGTTTAGCGTTTTGTTTGTGTCGTTAATATTCTGTAACACTTTAGAGGTTTTTCCAACAATATTTGATAATAAATCCAAATTGCACTTACCCTACAAAATGCAGTTATAGCCGATATCTGTAACAAAAAAAAATAGATCAGAAATATTTTCGAAACTATGAGCATACCACTAACAGTGAATCGTACTTTTTCTCCTGTCAAAAGGATAAATTACAAAATTTTAAAACTAATATATAAATAGTATTGTTGCGTTTATTAGTTCCTAATAACAAAATATGTTATTTATTTTATTACTTTGGTTTCACCCTTCATATGTATTTTTCCAATGTTGTCACTATGCCAGACATTACATTTGTTAACGTTTGTAATTTTTAAAATTCAAAAATAAAGAATTAGAAAGTACAGAGAGATATTTTTAGTGGCGACAAAGGAAAAGTAACCTATTTTAATATAAGGACTATTAATGTTGTGTACAAAAATAGAGCATCTCTCATTGAGTGTATGCATGAAATAGAAGAACAATTCACCAACAACACAGTCTGTAGTGTAGCCATCTCTATTCGCCGTACGTTAAATGATCCGATCTTCAATCTTTTGCTGACTTTTTTTCATCATGTGATGCCACACGTAGACATACTATTCAATCAACTGCAGCAAAGAAAAATTGAACCCATTCTAGTAAAAGACGTTATCGATAATTTTGAAAGCAGTATCACGCAAGTTCGAAATAATATTGATAGCATCATTACTGAAGCATCCGATATAATAAGCGAACAGCCACCAGAAAATAAACGCAAGCGCCCAGGTAACAGCAGATTTAATCACCGGATTTCTGCTGTAGAGGTGTGTGATGTTATCCTAAATTGTGCAAAAGATCGATTTGATTTTAAAGAGCACTTAATAGTTTCCTCACTTTTTTTTTTTGAATGCTTTGGAGAGTATTGTGGCAAATTACCTGAGAATAAACTCACTTCCGCATGCTGGTTTTATCCCACAATTGACAAAGAACTATTGCGAACTGAACTGTCTGTTATTTATTCAAGAAATGGTTGCAGGACATTGAATGGCGCACTACCTCTACTAAAATTTTTAATATCAAACAATCTAGAAGATACGTTAAAGGAGACTAGAAAATGATTAGAAATTGTGGTAACAACTCCTATGACAGCATCAGAGGCCAAACGATGTTTCTCAACACTAAATCGAATCAAAACGTTTCTTAGAAATTTAATGACCGAAGATCATTTAACAGCTCTTTCCATGCTATCTATTAAAAAATAGTTTACTTCCGAAATAGACAATTTTAATGAGAAAGTTATTACAAAATTTGCAAACCGAAAAGAATGTAAGATAGACCTAATTTATAAAAAATAGACTGTAAAATCACACTGTTTAAATTGTTCACGTCATTTTTTTAAAAATTTTGTATGTTACTTGAAGAAAATGGAGTACAGTAAAATAGTGCTTGGTGATTCTTTTTTTTTGTGTGGCCAATCGATCCAGAAATCCATCATTCACCAAGCACGATAAAATCGATGGGACTTTGACTAAGAAGACAACCTCCCTAAAAGGTAAGCTTTTTTTGCAAAAATTGCAGAACACCCTAAAATTTTTACCACAAGCCGCCACTAAATGCTCGTGAATATTCGTTGTACTTTTTTGGATTATTAGCTTAGGGAAATTTTAATTAGTTGGTAGTACTATGACGGAAGATACTGTTACGCAGTACCCTGTAGCGTGCTGCGGTCGTCATAAGTAAAGGTACGAGTAAATAAAGAAGATAGAATAGTCCAGAAATCTCTCGAAATGTCATTCCTTGTCAAAGAAAAGTCCGGATTGTTTGAGAAGGTTCTAGAAGGTCTAGGCAAGCAATATAAGTCGACGACCTGACATCAGAGTTCAGTTTTATGATAGACGTTACACGTTAATGTTATCAGTTGCATTGTTATTGTTAAAGTTCAGTTGAAATAAATTGTGATACCAAAAACCTGCGTAATAATACTATATGTGACTTTTAAAATTTTTAGAAAGGAAAGGACCCGCTCACCATACATCAAATTCCTTTGGGTTTGATTGGCGCCCTATTTGAACCTGAAATAGGTATCTTTTAAATATATTGTAAGTGGTATTTATATCTAAAATATGCTTGAACATAAATATATTTTTATGTTCTAGAAACGAAGATATTCCGACTATTTTACATTTGAGGTTGATACACCCTATTCTAACCTGCAAGTCGTTCTCTTTTACATATAATAAAAGTGGTATGTCTACATAGATTTTGCTGGAAAAGAAGTATACTTTTATGTCTAGGAACAGAGATATTTGATTCCGACAATAATCACTTTGGGGTTAATAAACACCCCATTTCAACCTGCAAGTCGTTCTCTTCAATTGGACGTATTGAAATTAAATGTAATACCAATATTATTAAACATTTCGAACAAGTTCCTGCTGTACTAAAAACTTATTACATTCTACTATTATTGGTTATTCGAGGATAAAGTTTATGCCGATAATTTGCATCCTAGGTATTACGTTTAATATTATCTGCTTACCAATTTAAATACGCCCGTGTGCATGTTTCCAAAGTTTGGGAAAATGTTCCGGAGGATTGTGGCTTACCCACATTTCCGGTGGTTTATGAGTATCTAGAATTTTGGACATAAGTGGAACCGCTTTAGAATAGTACACGAGCTAACATTGTTTCTATCCGTATTTAATATTAGTGAATGGGATTACGTAAACATAGTTAGCATTTTGTAAAAAATATACCAGGTGTCCAGTGTTTGTTCAGAATATAACTGGATATTTATCAGAAGATTTAGATAAAAAAGGCCAAGGAGACGTGATCTATAAAGATTTCTTAAATACCTTCGATAAAATCGATCACTCTATTCTTCTAAATAAATTGCCAGAACTTGGATTTAACTCTGATGTCATACAGTTTGGAAAAATAATTAAAATCAAGGGCTGACAGAAAAGGAAAAAAGTGAGACCAAAAGTGAAAGAAAAGATGTTTAAATTAAGATAATGCACATAAATTTTGGATTTTGTAATTATAATACGATTTCAAAATAATAGACAGTGGGAAAGTTCAGGAGTGTGTAGTGGAATGATGTCATCTGTCATCGCTGATGAGGTAATAGGAAATTTTAGTGACACTACTTGTGACGGGCTAGTAGGCTTTTGGGCGGACTAGCACTTTTTGTGACGGGCTAGAAATCTGCTAGAAGATACCTTTATGATAGGCAGTTCGATTTGTATGCTGCTAACGAAGCAGATATAGTAGGACATCAACCGTCTACTAGAGCCGGAAAGAAGATTCGGTTTACCGCTTGTTTTTGCTCACTTATTTTTGGGGGGGTATTAGTACATAACTTTATCTAAACCTAATGTAAACGAGGTTTAGGGGTGTATAAATTACAGTAGATTTTAATAAACCCGAAAACGTCACCAAGAGCTCTTCGTGGGGTATATTAGTTATGGGTAACTACTGATTTTAATAAATAACAGAGTTTTACTCGTTTTTATCCCTAGCGAGCGTAAATAGTATACTATTATTTATTTATTTTAATACATGCAGTACACACCTCATGTGTCTCAGTTTTAAGATTACCCCTAGTCCCATTTAAATATTTTTAAGTCTAATATAGTGTTTAATTAGTGAATAAAACTCCCAGTGATACTGGATTTATCGTTAATGGTTAGGGAATCTGATCGTTAATGTACTAAATGATTTAGTTGTTAAATATTGTTTACTTCGAAGTGTGAACGAGGTTGACCTTCCATGTCAACACACAACAATTTATAATATTAAAATTTGGGTATTTATATATTGAATTTTTCTTGTTATTTAACCCCAATTTGCTAATTGTGTGTTTGATTTCATAATCAGGTTGGTCAAATAAGACCTATGGTAAGGTAACGGTTTATAATAGTAGGAGCATACTCAATTTGTAGCCGCTTGAGGGCCTTCGTAGAGGTTTGGCTATTTGGAGTTTTATAGTGGACCGTCACTTGGGATTGTTGGAGGTGAGTAAACTCCTGGCGCCCAGTTACATACATAACTTTTGTTACGACTCACCCCTTCTTTACTGTAGCTAGTCGGCATCCAACACTTGGATTAATATAAATCCCACCTCAAGTGCTTAGGCACAGAAAGTAGGTAGCAGTGTGACAAATACTTTATGGAAGAAAGATGATATCATTAAGTGGCTAACAGACAGAAACATTAACTTTCCATAAAAATCAATAAAATAAAAACTTCTAGAAATTGTGAAATTAAATAAACCTTCAGTACGTTATAATAATAATAATAATGTTTATTCATTTCATTTAAAATTTTACAAATTGTACAATTTACAAATAAAAAATAAAATATAGGTGTAATTATTGGTTTGAAATAAAGAACAAACAAGACTTATCTTCCCATTAAAGCCGGTAGGCTGAGCATGGGCAATATAAGTATATCTTTCTTTTTTTCATTTCCTATCTCTTACACAAATTAACCAATACAGAAAAGTAAAAAATAAAGTAAATTAAAAATATAAATATTATTTAAACACCTAGTAATAATTCTAATAAACAACTGTCATCCAAGTTCATAATATATTTTTTAAAAATGCCTTTTACCATGTCCATTGAATTCAGAGTTAATAAGTACGTTTTGTATATATCCGATAAAAAATTAAATATCCTATCCATTATGTAATTCAAACACCGTTGTCCTATTGCTTTCTTAGTCATTTTTGTTTGAACGTTGTGTTTCTGCTTAGTTCTTGTGTCATACTTATGTTCTATACTTTTGAGCAAGTATTTGTGTTTGTGAGTATATATAATCACCGAGTACATATAAAGCTTCCTAATACTCATAACGTAACTTTCGACGAAAAGAAGATCTGATGGGTAAGTATTTATTTTATTATAAATTATTTTTAATATTTTCTTTTGCAAGACTTTTTTGTAAGTAAGTTGATAAAACACCCCCCCATGAAAGGATCCCATAACGTAATCGAGATTCTATAAGTGCAAAATAGATTATTTTAAGAAGAGGTATATCCAAAATTAATCGTAGGAATCTAAATTTTGGTAAAAGGCAACGCAAACATTTTGCAATATTTTCTATATGTTTACTCCAGTTAAGATGAGAGTCAATTTGTACTCCAAGATATTTGATATCATTTGTAATATTTATGTCAAACTGCTGAACGTTACCTTTTACTGTTATATTTCTATAGAAAGGGAGCATGTTCTTGTAACTGCAGAATGGAACAACATAAGTTTTATCAAAGTTTATTGTGAGTTTTTTATGATTAAACCATTTGACAATTTTTATAAGACCTGTTTCCATTAATACTTTCAGTTGGTTCCAGTTCTCTGCATTATACAGGATAGCTGTGTCGTCTGCAAAACTTACAATAGTTCCATCTGTATTAAGACTATACAAATTATTTAAATATAAATTAAATAACATAGGCCCTAGAACAGTACCTTGAGGTATGCCATATCTTACTATTCTTTTCTCGCTTAAGACATCATTAATTCTAACTATTTGTGTTCGATTCTGTAGATAGCTTTGTAATAATTTTTATGAAATGCCTCGTATTCCTACTTCCTCCAAGGCATCCAACAATTGGTTGTGACTCACTTTGTCAAACGCCTTGGCAAGATCTAGAAACACGCATGCACACGGTTTACTATTATCTATGTTTTTATATATGCTGTTTGTAATTTTTATAATTGCATCATTTGTAGACATTCCTTCCCGGAAACCATATTGTAGGTCTGAGATAATATTAAATTTTGAAAAATAACTAGTTAATTGTATCTTTAATGATTTTTCAAATATTTTAGTTAGAGTTGAGATTAATGATATTGGCCTATAGTTAGACATGATCTTTTTGTCACCTTTTTTTATAGATTGGTATTACTGCCGATAGTTTAAAGGAATTAGGGATTTGTCCCGATTTAAAGATGTGATTGATGAGATTTGTAATAAGAGGTGCTAGTTCAGTAGAAACATTTTTTATTAAATTAGTGGTAATACCATCTAATCCTGGGGCTTTGTCACTTTTTAAACTTTTTATTATATTTGTAGTATCTATTTCGGTTATAGTACTTAAATAAAATGATTG